CGTCGAGTCGGCCCCGACTCATAGCAACCCCTCCTTGGGTTTCCGAGGCAGTATCACTACGGAAGTAGGATTGCCCAACCTTCCTTCCGAGGAGAATCTTTCAATATTGTAACTCGAGGCTTAAATTTTTTCTCAATTCTTTCAGTTGGAGAAATGCTGAGCATGTTCTTCCCCTTTGATTTTCTAACTCCAGATCTGCACATTTCATTATAATAATTAGCTTTGTCTGCTCAAGCTGTCCTTTGAAATCTTCTGTTCAGCTCTTTTGTCTTGTCATTTCTTCCATTTGCCTTAGGTATTCTCTGTTCAAGGGCAAGTTTCAGAGTCTCTTCTGTTATCCATTTTGGTCTTTTCTTGTCTTTTTAATGACATCTTGCTTTCTTCACGGATGATGCTCTTGATGTCATCCCACAATTCTTCTGGTTTTTGGTCACTGGTGTTCAGTGCATCAAATCTTTTCTTCAGATGGGCTCTAAATTCAGGAGGGATATATTCAAAGTTATATTTCGGCTCTCGTGGGCTTGTTTTGTCTTCAATTTCAAGTTGAACTTTCATATGAGCAGTTGATGGTCTGTTCCACAGTCAGCTCCTGGCCTTGTTTTGGCTGAAGATATTGAGCTTTTCCATCACCTTTTGCCACAGATGTAATCAGTCTGCTTCCTGTGTACTCCATCTGGAAAAGTCCACATGTATAGCCACTTTTTGTGTTGTTGAAAAAAGGTATTTGCAATGAGTAAGTCGTTGGTCTTGCAAAATTCTATCATGCGATCTCCAGCATTATTTCTGTCACCAAGGCCAATTTTCCAACTACCGGTGATTCTTCTTTGTTTCCAACTTTTGCGTTCCACTCACCAGTGATAATTAACACATCTTGATTGCACATTTGGTCAATTTCAGACTGCAGAAGTTGGTGAAAATCTTCAATTTCCTCATCTTTGGCTTTGGTGGTTGGTGAATAAATATGAATAAGTTGTATTAACTGGTCTTCCTCATAGGCATATGGGTATTATCATATCACTAACAGCATTGTACTTTAGGACAGATCTTGAACCATCCTTTGTGATGATGAATACCATGCCATTCCTCTTCAAATTGTCATTCCAGGCATAGTAGATCATATGGTTATCTGATTCAAAATGGCCACAACCGGTCCATTTCAGCTCAGTAATGCCTACGATATCATCTTTATGTGTTCCATTTCATTTCTGACAACTTCCAATTTTCCTAGATTCATACTTTGTATATTCCTTGCTCTGATTATTAATCAATGTTTGCAGCCGTTTCTCAATTTTAGTCATGCCACTTCAGCAAATGGAGGTCTCGAAAACTTTAGTTTATCCATACCAGTAAGGTTGGTTCTATTCTGATGATGCAGCTCTTTCCCAGCTGTATTTTGAGAGGCTTCCAACCTAAGGGGTTAGCCCTCCTGCACTCTATCAGACAATGTTTCCGGGCTATTCATAAAGTTTCACAGTAATGCATCAGTGTTTCTCTGCTATTCATAAGGTTTTCCCTGGCCAATTCTTTGAGAAGTGGATGGCCTCTTCCTTCTTCCTAGTCTGTCTCAGTCTGCAAGTGGCACTGAAACCTGCATACCATGTGCAACCCTGCTGGTGTTTGAAACACCAGTGGCACAGCCTCAAGCCTCACAGCAACACGCAAGCCACCACAGTATGACAAACCGACAGACAAGATTGTATCCCTTAACTGTTTGAAACCTCTTTGCCCTCCCCTTACATGGATACGGCTGCTGCTTGGTCAGTCTCATTGCCTGGCTCCCCCCCCCCACCCCGCTTTCCTGTCTCTTGGAGGCGCAGCCTGTGTCCCTCCCCTTACTTGGATCCCTGCCTCTGCTGCTCGGTCAGTCTTGTCACCTGGCTTCCCCCCCACCCCAGCTTTCTTGCTCTTGGGAATGGGGCCTGTGTCCCTCCCCTTACCTGGATCCCAGCTGCTGCAAGTTGACAATAATAATAATTTAAAAAGAGGAACTCTGGTGGTGTAGTGGATAAGGCATCTGGCTGCTAACCAGAAGGTTGGCAGTTCAAACCCACCAAATGTTCCAAGAGAAGAAGATGAGGCAATCTACCTCCATAAAGATTTACAGCCTTGGAAATCCAACAGGGGTCACTATGAATAAGAATCAACTCAATGGGAGTGGTTCTGTTTTTCAGTGGACAATTGTTGCATGCCACTGAGTGGTCTCAGACTCACAGCAACCCCTCCTTGGGTTTCCAAGGCAGTATCACTACAGAAGTAGATTGGCTAACTTTCCTTCTGAGGAGTGGCTGCTGCATTTGAACTGCTAACCTTCTGGTTAGCAGTCAAGTGCCTTAGGCACTATGCCACCAGAGCTCCCAAGTGGATAATAATACTCTGAAATTCCAATCCAACACCATAGGGTTCATTCTTGTTTTTTCTGTATTTCTAACTCCCTTCACCATTATCCTTAATATATTTATTTCATCAATTTGTCTCTATATAACCAATCTCCCATCAATACCACTGTTACTCCTTCTGCTAACAAAATACCTTCCCTCAAAACACTCAGGCTCTAACATCGCACACCAAACAGTCCCTTTTGTGTGAATACCCTCTAACCTGCTTGAGCTCTGACACTCCACACCAAGTTGCCCTTCTTCAAGAATCATTTCACACTTCACACAGGGCCACTTTCTCTCTGCAAGAAAACCCTTCTCACACAACTTAGGCACTGATAGCCATGTTGGATAGTCCTCGTACAAACTCCCTTTCTCTGGGCCACTGCATCTCCCACCTGCTACAGTAACAATTATGAAAGGGTCATTGGAGTTGATGTCATTGTCACAGAGGTTAAATTAAACCTTCGATCTTTAATAGGAAATAGTTCAATATAGTAGTCAAATATGGTATTATTTCTAAATCCATTTCTAAAGCTCAAATTGCTTACCTTCGAGCTACATTTTTGAAATAGCCTGCACAAAGACATCTTCGTAGTACTTCATGTTTAGGACCTTCAAAGGTCTCTCTTGGGAAATCACTTTGCTATAAAAAGAATATATATACAGTAGTAAATATCATAGAAAATTTTCAAATAATCTTTTATTCTGAAAAGTTCACTTTTCTAAAGACTTGTGACATTGGCCAATACATAGTAAGAGATCTACTCTTTTACCTGAAACCACAAAAAAACTGACAAAATTTATGAAATAATGATGAAGCAACAAAGGATAGTGATCCTTGAGAGATGGGAAATAAATAAGTCCTACAACTGCTCCAGCTTACAGCCTTCAGAGAGATTTCATGCCAAGGTACAGAGAAAGATAACTCAAGTGGAACCCAGAGGACTTCTTTAGTTAAGGCGACAAAACTGAGAGTTCAGGAAGGCTAAGGTGGCCAGCATTTGCAGGGGGCTCTCCCTCCAGTGTTCGGCTGAGTACTGATTAGCACATGTGAAGAAACTACCTACAGCCAGGGAAAATACCTCCCGAAAGGAAAACAATGTTCAGTGCTCGTATAGTGCTAGGAATGATACTTGTTCCTACCAGCCAGACTATAAGACCTCATAATTCACATGGTTTCAGGTACAGTATTCAGAAGGGACCTGCCTCAGTAGTGGTGACTAGCCCTATACTGAGCACTACTCTGTTGTTGTTGTTGTTGTTGTTGTGTGCCGTCGAGTCGGACCCAACTCATAGCGACCCCTCCTTGGGTTGCCGAGGCAGTATCACTACGGAAGTAGATTGCCCCATCTTCCTTCCGAGGAGTG